GCCGGAAGGGCACAGGAAGGATTTTTCCGGCGCTCTGCTCTGCTGCTGTCCATCCCCCTGGCCTTGCTTTCCCCGTCCTAGACCCGCCCGTCATCCATGCTGCGGTGTCTGCTGACCTCCTGCTCCACTGGGCGCTGGGAAACACAAGCAGCTGGCTACCAGTGAGTCCCGCCATCCTGCAGCCCAGAGTCTGGAGGGGAGGGACCAACAAGAAAGGGTGAAGAAACAAAACTGGCTCAACAATAGAGGAGAAAATACAAAGAGGAAAGAGAAGGTGGCATTCAGGGTGGACTCCTTGGAGGAGGCTTCCTTCCTTGACCCTGCCATAGCTTCTGATGCCACCTACAGGGCTTGGGAATGGCAGTGTAAAGGCATTGAGGCAGGAAGCGGCTGGCAGCATCTGGGACAGCTAACAGGCAGGGATGGAGAGGTGACAGCCGAGGGAGAGGGGGTGCCCTGTGATGTCCCCCTCGGGAGGTGGCGGGGAGGGCTTTGAGCTGTGACTATGGGCTGCCTGCCCCCTGGAAGCCCCCTCCACCTCAGGCTCTCTGCTGGCCACACTCAGGGTGGGGAAGAGCTCATTCAGAAGGCAGCTCTTAAATGGGGGCGGGGAGGGGGAGGTGGGGACTGGGCTCACACCTGTCACCCTAGTTCCTCCGAGATCTTGGGCCACTGCCATCCTAGGCAGAAAACTTTTAGGAGACTCCAACTCCAATGAACCAGCAAAAATCCAGGTTGGCCAGGCCCTGGTGGCTCACACCTATAATCCTAGCTACCCAGGAGGCTGAGATCTGAGGATCTCAGTTCAAAGCCAGTCCAGGCAGAAAATTCCTGGTGAGACTCCCATCTCCAATTAACCACCAGAAAACCGGAAGTGGCGCTATGGCTTATGTGGTAAAGTGATGTTAGCCTTGAGCACAAAGAGTCTCAAGGACAGTGCGCAAGCCTTGAGTTCAAGCCCCACAAGTGGCAAAAAAAAAGAAAAAAATCCAGGTTGGAGGCATGGCTCGAGGGGTAGGGCACCATCCAGGAGCAAGAAAGCCTCCCGGATCCACTGTCAGCCTGTACCCACACCTAGGAGGCAGCGTCGACACAGAGGAGTGAAAGTTGGGGGTGGGGTGGGGGACTCACTATCGCCCCCTGCCGGCCCCTAGCAATGGCGGGTCCCTAGCAACAGTGGGTCCCTAGCAACTATGACTCTCCGGTCTCCAGCTCTGCCTTGGAAGAGCTGGGTGGAGTTGAGTCCTTCAGAGGGGTTGGAAGGAAATAGGACCTTTCTGTCTCTGGGTGCCAGTCTCCTGGAGGCCCTCCTGGGGCGAGGTCAGGGCGGGGTCAGGTGTGCTGGGTGGCCCAGGGCAGAGGCGGGCTGCAAGTACTGCTGGGCCCAGGCCCTGGAAGCAGGTGCTTGGAGGGCTGGGGGGGAGCAGGCGCATCGCCGCCCAGTGCGGTGCCGGGGACCCGCCAGGCTCTGCATCTGAGCCACGCCTCCTGCTCCAATGCTCGCCCGCATTGCTGGGGAATGACAGGCAAGCACTGCCGCGCCCAGCCATTGGTTAAGATGGAGGCTCCCAAACTTTCATGCCCCAAGGCTGGCCTCAAGCCACCATCGTTTCCATCTCTGCCTCCCAAGTAGCTGGGATTACAGGCTTGAGCCATTGCACCCATACTTAATTTTTTTTTAAAGGTCTCAGACATCAGAATGAAGTCAAGGGTGGTCTCTTGGTGTGTGTGGAACTGCTTCCAGAGCCACCCTCCCCCCCCCCACAAGATGCCAAATCCACGCGTACTCAGACACCTGTCTGAAAGGCTTGGTGTTTACACACAGCTCCTCCGTAAGCCACGGTCTTCTCTAGAAGGTCCCAGGAGACGCTGTTTCAATAGTTGTAAAGTGCTGCTTAGCAAACCAGGACCAGGATAAGCCCTCCACGTCTCTGCAGTGCTTTCTGAATACTTTGGATCTGTGGTTGGCTGACTGCGGAGAAGGAAGGAAGCATCGGACTTGAGAGGCACCAGGAAGTAATGTCACCCTCCCCCGGTGGGGCAGCCACGGCTCCTGCCAGCCAGAGCTGAGATTGGTGTTGGTGCCGCTGCAGTAGTAGGAGCCTGGTGTGGGGGTTCCAGGGGGTGTGCGAACAGCTGGCCGGGCCGGGACATCCCCCGTCCTCCCCTCCCTCCCCCAGGTCTGAGCTGAGGTGCTTCCTAAACTCCTCTGCCCCTCCCAGCGCTGCACCCCGCCATGCTCCACCCCTGCCACACCCCCAGAGCAGGTTAAACATTGAAAGGCCACCAGCGCTTCCCACATAGGGCTTTTCCCTGATCCCCAGAGCTGGCACCTGTCCCTCCCTGGCCTAGCTCCAAGGGAACTCTGTGGGGAGTTGGGGGTGGGAGGGGCATTGTCTTCCTGTTTTTTAGAGTTGGGGGAAACTGAGGCAAGAGAATCCATGTCCCACTTTGAGCTGGCGCCACCTCCAGCACCCCCCACCCCCACCCCGCCCTTCCCTAAGCACTTGGGTTATCTGTCCTCTGGCTGCTGAGAACTCGCCATGTTTACCCACCTGCTCGAGTCTACCCACCCACATCTCGCTGGGCGTGCCAGACCCGGAGACACGCTGAGAGTCTGGCTGACTGTAGTTCTGGTGTGGGGTGAGCCTGCCTCTAGGTGAGCCCATGTTGGGGGGCCGGGCCCTGGGGCGTCAGGCTGCGAAGGGCTCCCGCGGGGCAGAGGGGTGGCATCCACGCTCCTTCCCGCCTCGCACGCCAGTGGCCATCGGGGGTGGGAGCTTCCGGTCCTCCTCCCTGCTCCGTCCCCCACAAAGCCCTCCAGGCCTCCGCAGGGCTCCTTGGCCAGCCTCTTAGAGAGGGGGAGTCAGGGCGCCCCGGGGTCCGTGCCCACGCTGGGCGCTGGCTCAGCATTAGTCACCCCCCCTTGTCATCCTGCTCTCCCCACCCACCAAGTGCCAACCACGCAGGAGGGATGAGGGAAGGTGACTCAGGGCTCAGCAGCCACCGTGGGCCTTGTGGGGGGGAAGGGGAGGGGGGAGTTCAACCAAGGGCCCCTGTGGCCCAGTCCCTTACGTTCACCCTTTAAAAACAAAGATTTTCCATTGGCTTTTCCACCGTTAAAAGTTTTTTGTTTTTTGGGGGGTGGGGGTCCGGTCGTGGGGCCTGAACTCTGGGCCTGGGCACTGTCCCTCAGCTCTTCAGCTCAAGGCGAGCGCTCTACCACTTGAGCCACAGCGCCACTTCCGGCTTTTTGTTTTTGTTTTTGCTTATGTGTTGCTGAGGAATCGAACCCAGGGCCTCAGGCATGCAAGGCAAGCGCTCTGCCACTGAGCCACCTTCCCAGCCCCCTCCACCGTTAAAAGTTTTAAACACAAAAACACAAGAGTCAGGTGGCTCACACCTGTAATCCCAGCTACTCAGGACACTGAGCTCTGAGGAACAAGGTTTGAAGCCAGCCTGGGCAAGAAAACCCTGTGGGACCCTGATCTCCAACTAACCAGCACCAAGCTGGAAGTAGAGCTGCGGCTCAAGTGGTAGAGCGTCAGCCTTGAGGTGATAGAAAACAAAACAAAAAGCCAAGCAAGAGTTCAAGGCCCTGGGTTCAAGTCCCAATACCGGCACATCAAAACAAAAGCAAAGCAGGCTGTGTGGCGAAGCTCGGTGATTCGTCAGTTAGCACCGATTCGTCAGTTTCAGCCAATAAGAAGTGCAGAGGCGCCCGGTTAAGTTTGCCTGTGAGGCAGTTAGTGGGGACTTCCCATCTGTTCTGGAAGCCTCTATCTCCTGCGCGTGCACTGGATGGAGCCGGTGGGCCCGCCCACCACCTGCCACGCCACCCTCCCTTCCCGGGCCAGGCCTGGGACAAGCCAGAGCAGCAGGAAGGTCGGGACGAGGCGTGCAGGCCCCTCCCGGAGCTCACCTGGCAAGGGGTGGAGTGGGCTTTGCCGAGATCCCTTTCCCACTCACGATCTGGCTCCACCTGTGTGCCAGGCCTCAGTCCCAGGGCCAGGCCAGCCCCTCCAGAACAGAGAGACAAACAAGAGCCGCAGACAGGGGTCCCTGGTGCAGGCAGGTAGCAGGCACGTGGAGGGGAGAAGACAGGGCCTGGCGTCCCCTCCATCCGGGGATTAAGCGGGTGGGACAGGTGCTGGGAGCTGGGCTGGCCCGGGCCACGGCCCCAGGACAGCTGTCCACTTGCCAGCAGGGCCAGTCCTGCACTGTGTCTGGCTGTCTTCCTTCTTGCTGGTATGGCCCTCTAGCTTCCTCTCCGTGCTGGGGGCTGGCCTAGCCTCTCCCATCAGCCCCACCTCTCTCCTTAAAGCTCCTAAGCTGCGTTTCCTTTTTGTGCCGATTCTGAGGTTTGAATTCAAGGCCCGGGCGCTGTCCTTGGCTTTTTTGCTCACGGCTAGCAGTCTGCCACCTTGAGCCACAGCTCCACTTCCGGTTTTCTGGTGGCTCATTGGAGATGAGAGGCTCACGGGCTTTCTTGCCCTGGCTGGCTTTGAACCGAGATCGCCAGATCTCAGCCTCTGGAGAGGCTGGGATTGAGGCGTGATTGGATTCTGTTTTATGGGCTCTTCAGGAACTGGCACTGTTATCTTGAGGTAAAGGCCCCGCCTCTCCTCGGTAGTCACCCTATTGGGTTTGGATTCGGCCCTATCCTATTGGCCCCAACTTCCCAGCCTCTAGTTAAGCAGGTGCTGGCCCGAGGTGCTCCTGGCCCAGCTCAGGTCCCTCCGGGTGAGGAGGATGAGGATTCAGCCTCACAGGACTTGTATTCTGAAAGGGAGCTGCCTGCAGAAAGCACCAGGAGCGAGAATGCCAAATCCTCCTGAGGGTGGACAGAGGCTGCCTGAGGGCTGCGGTCAGGGGGAGCCCCTGGCATGGCCCCTGAGAGATGCCCCAGCCCCCGGAGGAAAGACCCTGAGTAAGGAGGAAACCCCCCAGCAGCCTGTGGCTCCGCGCAGCCAGTCACGCAGCCCCCCTGTACCCCGCAGGTGAAGCAGATCATGGAGGAGGCCGTTACCCGCAAGTTCGTGCACCAGGACAGCAGCCACATCTCCTCCTTCTGTGGTGAGCCCCTGCCCCGGTGGGGAGGGGATGCCGGGGTCATATACCCCACAAGGGCTCTGCACACCCTGCGGTACTGCCGGGTGGGGCAGGAGATGGGGGAGGCAGAGGCCTGGATGCCACAGGCCCCGGGGGACGTGACGCAGGGCGTGACTCAACTCCACTCCTCCGCCAGGAGTAACCAGGCTGCCGGCTGTGCCTGCCACGGGGCCCAGCCCAGCTCGGCTGTGTGTGTGTGTGTGTGTGCATACAACCACCCAGTACACACACATGCACACCTGCACACAAATATACACATGCAGATACTTGCACACCCATGTAAACACACAGCCTCACACACATAGACACATGCATATACACAACCATACACAACCACATATACATGTGTGCACACATGCATGTGCGCATGCACACACACACACACACACACTCACCAGTGCCCCGGCTTCCAGCAGAGGCTGAGCAAGGCCAGAGCCTAGGCCACCTGCTGCCTCCTCTCTCGGGAGAGCAGGGAGCCTCGCGTGGGGCCCACACAGGCCGAGTGTGTTCCCTGACACAGGCCGGCGCCTCAGCTCACCCCTTTGCAGCCAGGAAGGCCTGGGTTCAAATCCCACCACTGCCACTTCCTTGTTGGGTGACGTAGACACGATCTTTTTTTTTTTTTTTTTTTCTTTTTCCTTCTGGTACTGGGGCTTAAGCTCAGACCCCCACCGTCTTGCTTGACTCACTGCTGGTGCTCCACCACCAGAGCCACGCCTCTAGGCCAGCTCTTTTACTACTTAATTGGAGATGGGGGTCTGATGGACTTTCTTGCCCAGGCTGGCTTTGGACCTCCAGCCTCCAGATCTCAGCCAGCTTGTGTAGCTAGGATTACAGGCGTGGCTCTATCACTGACTTGCTGCTGGCCTGGAATGGTCCGCTTCTCCCCGAGCAGTGGAGATGCTTTTGTTTGTTGGTGGGTTGCAGCAGTCCTGTAACCCCAGCAGCGATGGGCGTCACTGGTGACAAGGCTGGGCCTTTTACAGGCTACCAGCACTGCTCTCCACCCACACCTCTGTCCTCCTCTCTAGCAGCCTCAAAGCACCCACTGTGTGCCAGCTCTGCTAAAGACTTGCCAGGCACTTTTTCATTATCTCAGCAGCTGAGGTCCGTGCAGACTCTTCCCCCCTGTTCCAGAGGAGGAAACTGAGGCACAGAGGGGGAGGTCCCTCCCCACGGTCACCCGGCAGCCATGGCGCTGGGGGGCGGCTGTGATGCCCACGGAGGGCCGGGGGCGTGGCCGGGCAGGGCCTGCTGACCGCACGTCCCCACAGCCGCGGTGGAGGCCTGCGTCCTGCATGGGCTGCGGCGGCGGGCGGCCGGCTTCCTGCGCAGTAACAAGATCGCGGCCCTCTTCATGAAGGTGGGCAGGAGCTTCCCACCCGCCGAGGAGCTGAGCCACAAGGTCCAGGACCTGGAGCAGCTGATCGAGAGCACGTACGTGCAGAGCTCAGGGGGAGGCCAGGCAGGACCCCAGGACAGTCCACACCCCCCCCAGGCCCTGCCCCAGCCCGTGCCTCCTGATGGGTCTCTGCCCACACTAAAGCAGCCATGCAGAGCGGGCTCATCGGCTTTGGTTGGGGGACAAGGGGGAGCGGAGGCAGGGAACTCTGGGGGACAGAGTATGGCCTGGGTCACTCACTGCCTGTCACCAGGGCCGGCCTCCTGGGGTCCTGGCCGCAAAGCCAAACCCTCCACCTGGAGCCGGGCAGAGAGATCAGGTAAGTGGAAGGTCCAGGCAGTGCTTGTGGCTCCCAGAGGAAATGATTCTGCACCAGGACTAGGAAGAGTGCATGGATTGATTGGTCATGCCTGCCACAGGCAAGGGAAGGGAAGAGACCCTCTTCACATACTCGGCCTTTCTTTTACAAAACCCCAGAGGCAGTCAATCAACTTAGAAGGACAACAGGTTTCCTGGGACTCCTGGCTTCAGAAGCCAAGCCTCCCAGTCTACCTCAGGCAGGAGGGCAGGACCTGGGTCTCACAGCCCCCTGGAAGGCCCCCACCCCCCATGCCTAAAGCCTGCCACTGAGCCCCTCTGCAAGGCTCTGAACACACCATCACCCCGCGGAGCCAGGCTCCGCCCAGTCCACACCACGGCCACCCTCAGTCTCCCGTCAGCCCGCCAGGCCCCCTTGACCTCCCCGGCCTCGTCCCGCCTCCCACGGCCCACCCCGCCTGCACGGTGGGCAGGGCTGGGGTTTGTCCTGGCATTCCCCATTTGGGTGACTCTGCCGCCCGTCAGCCAAAGGCCTGGTGTTTGCAGATAACTCCTGAAATGGTGGAACCCCGGTCTTCAGTCCTGGGGAGCCAGGGGAGAGAGGGAGGGAGGAGCGAGGGGAAGGAGGGGAGGAGGTGGAAGGTAAATGGAGGGTTGGGGCTGGGGTCGGCGGGGGGAGACGTGGAAAATAATACCTGAGGAATATGAAAATGCAGACATGTAGTCGACGGATACTTTGGTTTACAGTTGAGATTTGGACCCCCTCTCTCTTTCTCTGAGCCTGGCTCTCATGATGTAGCCCAGGCTCATTCATACTCAGGGTCCTCCTGCCTCTGCCTCCCGAGTGCCGGCTGGGACGGCAGGCAGGTGCTACCATGCCCGGCTTATTGTTTTTCAACTCTTGGCTGACTTGAAGGAGCCATGAGGACTCTTGGTGATGAGCTGTCGTTCCTTCCCTTCTCAGAGCCAGTGTCCCTCTGTCCATCTGCGCCCTGGCCCTGAGTCTCTGTTCTCTGTCTGTTCTCTCAGGCGAACCCAGATGCAGGGCCTGCAGGAGAATGTGCGGAAGCTGCCAAAGCTGCCCAACCTGTCCCCGCTGGCCATCAAGCACCTGTGGATCCGCACCGCCTTGTTCGAGAAGGTTCTGGACAAAATTGTTCATTACCTCGTGGAAAACAGCAGGTGAGGGACAGGCAGACACCCGAGTGCTCTGCCGCCACCTACTGGACATGCTGCAAATTGCAGTCTCACGAGCAAAACCACTTAGTGGTTAAAAGCCGCTGAACAAAAGCCACCTGGATGTTTGACGCTGGACTAGCCTGGAGGAGAACCTGGGGAGGGTCCCCACGTCTAGTGGCAGCACAGGCGCCTCCTGTCAGAGCAGGGAACGGGGCGTCCTGCGATTAACCTGTTGTGGCTTAACCTCCCCGTCTCCTTACTTGTCTCTCCTGGTAGATGGGCCAGGCTAAAGGGGAGGCCCTGGGTGTGAAGGCAGGGCCTCGCACTCGCTAGACACAGGCTTTACAGCTCGAGCCACACCCCCTGCTCTTGCTGCTGGACTGCCATCCTCCTACTTGGCACCTGAGTAGCTGCAGTGACAGGCGTGAGCCACCACCTCAGCCACTCTGCCCTTTTCTATGACAGGTTCTGGTCCAAGCTTTTGTTCATGTTTTCTGGTGCCCGTTCTGGGGCTTGAATTCAGGGCCTGAGCACTGTCCCTGAGCTTCTTTTGCTCAAGCTTAGTGCTCTAGCACCTGAGCCAGTTCCACTTTTTGCATCTGCATGCCTGCGTGCCTCTGTGTGTGTGTGTGGTTAACTGGAAGTAAGAGTCTCATGGAGTTTCCTGCTTGGGCTGGCTTCAAACCACAATCCTCAGATCTCAGCCTCCTGAGTAGCTGGGATGACAGGCGTGAGCCACCAGCACCCGGCTCCAAGGCTTTTATGATCACCTAACTGCTGGTTTGGGAATGGAAACTGGAAGCTGGCGAGTGTCTTTACCCTTAACTCCAAAATGTGTGAACTTTATGTATGGACCAAGTTCTGAAGCAGGTTAGTTCTAGCTCAGCCACTTCTCTGAATTCTGCCATTCTTCCACTTTACAACTAGAACACTGAAGCTCGGAGAGGGATCCACTTGCCTAGGGACACATAGCACAGTGGTGAGAAGCCAAGCTTGCCTCCTACTCAGTCTGTCTGGACTCCAGACCCCAAGCCTCTGACCCTCAGCCGTATGGAGGCAGGGGCCATGCTCGGCAGATAGAGCTCTGTCTTCCTGCTGTGTGTCCTCCAGCAAGTCACTTAGCCTCTCTGGGCCTGATAGCCTTAGGAGATCCAGATAACTGCTTTGAAACTCTGAGTCTTTGGACTGCATGAGTTCTAGGAGTTAGAAACCACACTATCACACTATGACTTAAACAACCCTCAAAACACGCAGCATGAATGTCCCATCGGTGCTGTCGCGTGATACGTTGCAAGGTCAGACTTCCTCTCAGGCCAGCATTATCCATGTTCCTTATCCGCGCAGGAGAGCTTGTCAGCTCATCAGGTGCTTACCCAGCACAGCTAAGCAGCATCTCATTGCCTTGGTGACAGAAGCCCCTCCCCGCCCTCCCCCTCCCCCCCCCCCCCCCCCCCGCATCTGAGAAGGGGAGGTTGGAGTCAGCCCACCTCCCGACACAGCCGGCTGGTCCTTACCCCTGTCACTCTCCTCATGGCCATTAAGCAGGTGCAGACCCCACCCGGCACTCTGTATGGTCCATGTGCCTTCTGGCACCCTCACTTGGCAGGTGGACGGCCGAGGCTCCCAGCAGTGGCTGGGCCACGAGTTGGGGGGGGGTGCGCCCCCTGCTGGCCGCCATGCACACCTGCCCCTCTTTCCCTCCCTGCCAGCAAGTACTACGAGAAGGAGGCTCTGCTGATGGACCCGGTGGACGGCCCCATCCTGGCGTCCCTGCTGGGTAAGAGGCCGGGGCTCTGGCCTGGGGCCTCGGGAGCGCCCAGCCCACCGGAGCCTGCTTGCCTGCCGGCCGCCTCTCCTTCCCTGGGTCTTGTTCTGGTCTGTTCACTGCGGGGCTCTGGGGGAGGAGGAGGCCGGGTGGGTGGACATTCAGGGTCCGCAAGTTCCCAGCCGGTGTGCTCTGCAGTGGGGCCCTGCGCCCTGGAGTACACCAGGATGAAGACCGCCGACCACTTCTGGACGGACCCCTCGGCCGACGAGCTGGTCCAGAGACATCGCATCCACAGCTCCTACCTGCGCCAGGACTCGCCCACCAAGCGGCCGGCCCTCTGCGTGAGCGCCAGGCAGCGGGCCCTGGGCGGGCAGCGGGCCGGCCCTCCCTCCCCCACGCTCCCCTCCCCCCTCCCCCTCCCCCCGTCACTCCAGGGCTGTCCCTCCACGTACCAGATACAGAAGAGACACTCGAGCGGCAGCATGGACGACCGGCCGTCCCTCTCTGCCCGAGACTACGTGGAGTCCTTGCACCAGAACTCTCGTGCCACCCTGCTGTACGGCAAGAATAACGTCCTGGTCCAGCCGGTGAGCCACCGTGGGCCTTGCTCCGAGGGTTCGGATCTGGGTTGGAGGTGGGGAGTTTCCTCTGGCTCCAGATTGCTTCTCCACCCACCCACCCATCCATCCATCCATTCATCTGTCCATCCACTTACCCATCCACCCACCCACCCATCCAACTATTCTGTCTATCCACTCCTCCATCTGCCCACCTACACTCCCATCCATCCATTCATCCATCTACCCACAAATCCATCCATCCACCCACCCATTCACCTGTCCACCTATCATCCACCCATCCACCCATCCGCCCATCCACCCATCCGCCCATCCACCCATCCGCCCATCCGCCCATCCACCCATCTGCCCATCCACCCATCTGCCCATCCACCCATCTGCCAACACGTGCATCCATTCTTCTGCTCGCCCACTCTCCCAGCCAGCCATCTACCAATACATCCGCCCATTAATTATCCACCCTGCCACCTATCTACCCACCTGCCAATCTAGTCAATTCATTCATCCACCCACCACCTACCCATTCATCCCTCTCCATTCACCCACTTCCTAATAAATCCATCCATCAGCTACCTATCCACCCATCTACCCACCTACCTATTCACCAACCAATTTCTCATCCATCCATCCATTCATCATCTTCATTCATCCATCTGCCAGTAAGTCCATCCGTCTGTCCATCTACCCTTTCAATCAACCATCTGCCAATGTAGCTACGCATTATCCACCCACCCACCAACCCATCCATCTATCTGTTCCTTCATCCATCCACCTGCTAATTTCTCCATCTGGCCAAGCGGCTGGTCCCCCCATTCTCTAGCCCACCCATCTTTTCATCTGTGCGCCCGCTCCCTCTCCTGCAAGCATCTGCCTGTGTTTGCATCTGCCCTCCTGCCCATCATCTCCCCGTCTTCCCCATTGCTGCCCCACCCCACCCCCCACCTCCTGCCCTCCCCAGCCTCAGGATGGATGGCAGCCACCCTGTCACTGCCCATCCGTGTTCTCCTCGCTTGCCAAACGTTTACTCAGGCCTGCTGTGTGATGGATGGATGTGGCGGGCGTCTGCTGGGCGCTGTGCCGCGGGAGCGCCCAGAGCTGTGTTAACTCACTTTAAGCCCCGCAGCCCTCACAGGCAGGGCCGTTCAGCCTGGAGACACTGGAGCCTGCAGAGGTGACCAGGACTGAGAACTTTAATTCACCACCGGCTGTTGCCATTACTCTGTCTTTCCTCTGGCAGCTGGCCGGGCTCTAGGGATGGGAGGGGAGAGGGGCACCCACGGCTCCGGCTCCCAGGAAGTGTCCCTTTTGGCTGCCTCTCTCCACGGCCAGCATGGTGACTAGACTCTGGGAGGAAGCGGGAGAGGTCACTGGGTGACCCCCCCCCCCAAGCACTGACAAACTGTGCTGGTGGCCCTCCACTTGGTTTTTATAAGTAAAGTGTTATTGAAGCACAGCCGTGACCATTCGCTTCTGTGCTGCCCATGACTGCTTCCAGGCTATGGTGGCAGCGTTGACTGGTGGCATCCGGGCCTGTGTGGCTTCCATGAGCAAAGACAAGGCCCCAGCCATCTCTTGGCACGGGAAGTTTGGTGACCTCTGAACCTGAGAGTGTAGTGAGTTCAGCCTTTCTGGCAAAGGCCTCAGGCTGGGGTCTGAGCTCCCCACAGCTCTGGGCTGGGGGGGGGGGGGTGTTCATCTGCTCAGCCGCCAGCCTCCTCTGTGCTGCGGAGTCCCATGGTTTCCAAGGTGTAAAGTACCCCCCGCCCTCCGAGTGGGAAGCGGGTCGGGGCGGGACCAGCCCGGTGCGCAGCTATGGCCAGGGCCCTCCCCGGTGTGCGTGACGGGGTGCAGGCTTCCCGGGATGGACGCGGGACCCAGGGGCTGCTCCCTCGTGGGCTCCCTCGTGGGGTCTGCCCAGAGCGTGGCAGGGCTGCGCTCGGCACACACTTGGTGCTAATCAGACGCCGGGTTGGCTGCTGCCTGAGTCTGAGGATTTGGCATGGGGGCTGCCATCCTCCTGGATGAGCGATGGTGGCAGAGCCCCCCCCCCCGCCTTGTGCCTGGGATGAGCAGGGTAGCTGGAGGGCAGGGGGTCCTGGAGGCAGTTTGTGGGGCGATTGGACCCCCTGTCGGGGGAGCGGTTTCTGGCAACGGCTGGGGGCTGCCCTCGCACTCGGTGCCATCTCTCTCCCTTGGCTGAGAGATGTGGCCCAGTCCACGGCTTGAAGACACGGAGCCCCCGGGGGCGGAGCCCCTGGACCCCAGGTGAGGGGCACGTGGTTGCCCCGCGGCCGGGCCATCCTGAAGCCCCACTGTGGGGGGCCAGGCTGGGCACAGAGGAGGCCGGGGCACCCCGCTGGCCGGGACCTCACGGGCCCGGAGCCCGAGCACCGGCGTCGGCGACGCGCGGATGAACCAGCGGGCCCAGCGCCTCTGCCGCCGCCCGCCCGGCTCCGGCAGGGTGGCCGGGCCTGAGCAGCCCCGTCCGTCTCTGCAGAGGGATGACATGGAGGCCCTGCCTGGCTACCTGTCCCTGCACCAGACCGCGGACATCATGACCCTGAAGTGGACGCCCAACCAGCTGATGAACGGGTCTGCGGGGGACCTGGACTACGAGAGGAGGTAGGAGTGGGGCGCGTGTGCGTGCGTGTGTGTGTGTGTGTGTGTGTGTGTGTGCATGTGTGCGTGTGCATGCGTGTCTCCAGGCCCCTGGGAGCTTCTCCCGGTCACTAGAGCATAAACCTCATCCAACATCTCACTGGCTCTGCACGGGCCACGGGGTCCTCCCTGCACCAATCACGGTGCTCGGGACACTGGCGCGCGCTGATGGGTCGGTCCTGGGTCAGGTGATCCTCGGGGCCACGCGGCCAGGGGGGGATGACGCCCTCAGGTGGTGGAGGCGCTGAGAGAGCAAAGGGAGACAGCCTGGGCAGAACAGGCCGCCGATGCCAGCAGTGCAGGGTCCAGGGAGGGGTCAGAAGGGGCAGCGTCCCCACGGGGGTCAGCCGGCCCCCTGAAGCCTACCCCTGGTCCCCTTCCAGTGTCTACTGGGACTACGCCATGACCATCCGCTTGGAGGAGATTGTCTACCTGCACTGTCACCAGCAAGGTGGGCCCCGGGGCCTCGGGCACGGCAGGCACGCGTCCTGGGCCCCCGTCTGTCCCCACGCTTCCGCTTGTCCCCAACTGCCTGTGCAGCCTCGGGCCAGCGCCTTTCCCTCTCTGAGCCTGGGTCTTCCCCTGTGTAGAATGGCTGCCGCGTAGGGCCTAGAGCAGCCCAGCAAGGGGGTGGCCTGGTCACCACGTCAGAGGTGAAGCGGCCCGTCAGCTCCAGAGCCCAGACTTGAGCCCAGGTCTGGGGGAGGCAGAGCTCTGCAGACTAAAGAACCATAACTTCCCTCGCTCCTTCCAAGCCAGAAGCACACACAGGCCCGGCCGGCTCTAGAAAGCTTGGGCCACACCAACACCTTAAAACACAGTCGCTCGTGCCTTTTTAAGGAGACAGAACTGAGGTTCCAGTCTAGGCGCTGATCCTTACAGGCTGCTGTGTGACCTTGGACGAGATAGTCAACCTCTCTGAGCCTTGGTTTTATCATGTAGAAATTAGACCATGACAAATAGGGATATTGTGAGCTTTACAAAATTTTTAACCACCAGGTGAAAAACACTCAAGTAAGTGCTCGCTCATGCCGGCCTGAGCCAACCAGCGCGGGGAGGATTTGAGTCTGAAGTCTGCCTTTAACCTAAGTCAGGCAGGGTTACAGAAGGCTGAGGAGAGGCCCTAGGAAGCCAGTTCTGGGTCTCATCCTGTCACATGCCCCCCCAAGATGGACGGTGGGGGCGGGGGGATCTGAGGAGAGGGGCCCAGCCCTGCCCGGAGCTGGGGTCCACCCTGGGGCCTGGGCTGGCCAGAGGGGGCAGCCACCACCCTACCCTACCCCGCCGTGACTTCCTGCTGGTCTCCCCCGCCGGTCGGTGGCCGTGGCAGTGGACAGCGGCGGCACGGTGGTGCTGGTCAGCCAGGACGGGATCCAGAGGTCGCCCTTCCGCTTCCCCAAGGGCGGCCACCTGCTGCAGTTCCTCTCCTGCCTGGAGAACGGGCTGCTCCCCCACGGCCAGCTGGACCCACCGCTCTGGTCCCAGCGCGGGAAGGTGAGTGACCCCCGGGGGCTGGAGGGGGGCCGGGGTGGGCCCGGGCCCCACCGAGGCCTGGCGGGTGCGCGCACACCCCACCGCGGCCCCCTGCGGGCCCGGGGACAGACGGGCCCCCGGACGGGCTTCAGGATGTGTTCTCTCAGGGCAAAGTGTTCCCCAAACTCCGCAAGCGGAGCCCCCCGGGCTCGTCCGAGTCCACGTCGTCAGACAAGGAGGACGACGAGGCCACGGATTACGTGTTCCGCATCCTCTACCCCGGCACGCAGTCCGAATTCGGTGAGCCGCCCCCACTACCATTGAGGCCGGGCAGGGTAGCATACGCCTATCATCCCAGCCACTAAGGAAACGGAAATCGAGAGGTCCAGAGTTCAAAATCAAAAGGTTTATGGAGACTCCATTTCAACACGCAAGCCTGGCCGAGCGTGGTGGCTGGCTGCTGTAACCCCAGCGTACGGGAAGTGTGTCTAGAAGGATAACAGCCCAAGGCCAGCCCAGGCCCCCCAAATGCAAAAAGGCGGGGAGCATGGCTCAAGGGGAGGAGCATCTGCCTTGCAAACGCAAGGCCTTGAGGTCAATCCCCAAAAATGCTAAAAGAAAGAAAAAAGAAACAGAAAAGATGACAGACGCGTTGGGGAGGATTGTACCTCAGGCCTGTTTCCCCATCTGTAAAATGGGGGTGTCGGGTGGGAGCCCTGCCGGCGTCTGAGGGCTGAAGGCCGGGCAACGGGTGTCCAGGGCCTGCAGGAGGGACATGGCGCTCCAGGCATGACCAGGAGCTCATGGTGGCCCAGGGCCTCCAGGCCCGGAGGGGCCCGGCACGCACCCCACCCAGTGCAGGGGCCCATGCAGCGTCCATGCTGGCGTCAGGGTCTTCCCACTGAGCCCCTCCTTCCTGCAGCCCCCCAGCTCCCAGGAGGACGAGCGTCCTGAGCCTGGCTGCGGGACCAGGCCCTGTGACACGCCAGCTCCCATCCGGCCGGGGCAGGGGCGGGGCCAGGGGGAGGAGTGGGGCCTGGGCAGGGGCGGGGACAGGGGCAGGGGTGAGGCCTGGGCAGGGGTGAGGCCTGGGCAGGGGTGAGGCCTGGGCAGGGGCGGGGACAGGGGCAGGGGTGAGGCCTGGGCAGGGGTGAGGCCTGGGCAGGGGCGGGGACAGGGGCAGGGGTGAGGCCTGGGCAGGGGCGAGGCCTGGGCAGGGGTGAGACCTGGGCAGGGGTGAGGCCTGGGCAGGGGTGAGGCCTGGGCAGGGGCGGGGACAGGGGCAGGGGTGAGGCCTGGGCAGGGGCGAGGCCTGGGCAGGGGTGAGGCCTGGGCAGGGGCGGGGACAGGGGCAGGGGTGAGGCCTGGGCAGGGGTGAGGCCTGGGCAGGGGCGGGGACAGGGGCAGGGGTGAGGCCTGGGCAGGGGTGAGGCCTGGGCAGGGGCGGGGACAGGGGCAGGGGTGAGGCCTGGGCAGGGGCGAGGCCTGGGCAGGGGTGAGACCTGGGCAGGGGTGAGGCCTGGGCAGGGGTGAGGCCTGGGCAGGGGCGGGGACAGGGGCAGGGGTGAGGCCTGGGCAGGGGCGAGGCCTGGGCAGGGGTGAGGCCTGGGCAGGGGCGGGGACAGGGGCAGGGGTGAGGCCTGGGCAGGGGTGAGGCCTGGGCAGGGGCGGGGACAGGGGCAGGGGTGAGGCCTGGGCAGGGGTGAGGCCTGGGCAGGGGTGGGGACAGGGGCAGGGGTGAGGCCTGGGCAGGGTGGGGACAGGGGCAGGGGTGAGGCCTGGGCAGGGGCGGGGGCAGGGGCAGGGGTGAGGCCTGGGCAAGGGCGGGGGCAGGGGCAGGGGTGAGGCCTGGGCAGGGGTGAGGCCTGGGCAGGAGCAGGGACAGGGGGAGGGGCGGAGTCTGGGCAGGGGTGAGGCCTGGGCAGGGGTGAGGCCTGGGCAGGGGCGGGGACAGGGGCAGGGGTGAGGCCTGGGCAGGGGCGAGGCCTGGGCAGGGGTGAGGCCTGGGCAGGAGCAGGGACAGGGGGAGGGGCGGAGTCTGGGCAGGGGTGGGGCCTGGGCAGGGGCGGGGGCCTGGGCAGGGGCGGGGCCGCCAGGGCTCCAGCCTCTGGCTCAGCCGTGCTTTTCCTTCCTGGCCCGCTGGCGGCCAGCACTCTTGTTCCTGAATGACCCACGCGTGAGGACCCTGTCCTCGATGCTTAACCTGGAAAATGGGGAGAAGATCTGTCTCCCCGCCCCCCCACTCAGGACTGTATTCCAGGAGGTCAAACGGTGCCCACACCTGCTGAGCCAGCCTGGCAGCTGCCCAGAGAGCGGCGGCGGTCGCGGGCATTCTGTGCCCTGCCTTCTCTATGTCTGAGCTCATGGCGTGCCTAGCAAAGACACAGAGAGGTCAGGCAGTGGCTCCAAGGTCACACAGCAAATTCCAGCCCTCTAGCTTTGTCAGCTTCATCCCCAAGGTCAGGTTCAGCCCATGGAGAAATGGGGACCCCTTTGCTTGGCTGATCTCCACCAGAGCCCGAACTACACAGGGTGAAAGGAACCCCCATCTTACGGTATCTCCCGTGACAGAGACGGGATCCTCCCCCGGTGTGGCGCCCATCTGCGGCCCCCTGCCCGACTTTACAAATAAAGTTTTATTGGCTTGTGGCCCCACACACTCTCATTCAATGTCTGGCGGGGACAGGCGGGCATCGGTTTCTCCAGCGTCTTCCCGCCGGCCCAGCCTCACGCCTGCACCTCACGGTTCTCGTTTGCTTTGTGTCTCAAGTCCCCGCCGGCCCCATCTCTGTGGGCCCCGCCTGGATGATGTTTCCTGCCGGCCAGTCCACTCTGGTGGTGGCCAGGGGGATTCGGTGGGCACAGGACGCCGCCCACCCCACCCCGCGCCTGCCGGAGCAGCCCCCCAGTAACGTCCATTTCCCCCTCCCGGGGCTGGGTACCAGCCGTGTTGTCATTGAGTCTTGGTCCCAGGGGATGTGGGACAGAGAGACAGATGGGTGTCCCTGCCTTCCCCGGCCTCTGCCCCGCACAAGGCAGTGGTGAGAGGAGAAGGGGGTGCTGGGGGCTCACTCAGTGGCTCAGGCATCCATTGGTGATGTCTGCATGGTGTGAGGGCCAGGACAGAAGCTGCTGGTCACAGCTTCCCTGGGTGTTTTTTTTTAGAACATTTGAAGGGGTCACTGGCCTCTCTTGGCCAGCTCCCTGTGGAGAGTGTAATGGCCCCTCTGGGTAGCTGTGAGAGCCCGCAGGGAGGCGTGGCCTGGCACTGGTGGCTCACTTATAATTCCAGCTACTCAGAAGGCTGAGATCCAGAGGATCACAGTTCGATGCTACCCTGGGCAGAAAAGTCCCCAAGACTCCATCTTCAAAACAGCCAAAAAAAACCCTGGAGGTGCAGCTCAAGTGGAGCACCAGCTGTGAACAAGAGAGCCACACAAGTCCAAGCCCCAGTGCCACTAAAATACATCCCACCACCATACGGATCCATGTGCCCTGCCTCCAGGAGGCTTTGTTCCAGCAGGAGAGGATCGCAGGATGGATTGTGGTTTTTCAAGGAGGGGCCCCCAGGCTGTTGTCTGGGCCTACCAGTAGAGCATCTTTGTAACTCCGGCCCCCTCCTCAGACTTCCCAGCGTCTCCGGTCCCAGGGCGCTGTCTCTGGTGACTCAAGGCTCCGCAGAATTGCCCGCAGCCCCCTCCCATCACCATCCATCCCCTGTGCCCCACTGAATGACAACATGGCCGGGACTGCCTGCCTGGGCTCGGCTGGGCTCTGGGCTCCGGGCTCTCCCTCTCTCTGCACCATTGCCCCCTCTGCCCGTCTGCTGGAGCCTCCTCATCGGGGGGTGGCCGGTGCTGGGTGCGGTGGGCTCCAGGGCCCCAGCAGCCTGTGATCGGGGCCGGCCCGGGAGCGGGGAGCTGCTTGCTTTGGGGGTGAAGTTCGTGTGGCCCGCACAGACATAACCAGAGCTCTCCTGCCCCTTCTCCCCACCCCAGCCCCCCAGGACCTCATGGACGTCTCCGAGAACAGCCTCCCGGCGCTGTGGCAGCCCGGCCCCCGGAAGTCCTCCTGCTCATCCTGCTCCCACAATGGCTCAGCCAACGGCAGCTCCAGCAATGGCTGCAACCACGAAAGGTAGGCGGGGCGTCGGGAGAGATCCAGGATCCACGGGGGGGGGGGGGGGGGTGCCCCTTCACTGCCCGGAATTGGATCTGGAGGCCGTGGGGTCCACCGTTGCTCCGTCGACTCCTGGCCATGTGCAGTTACTTCACGCGAATCAGTCAGGATGAGCAAAGCGATGCTGCAGTAACAAATACTCCCCAGAGCCGGCGGCCTTGGCCACAAGCATGGAAGTACCTTGCCACACCACATGTCTGTCAGCGGTCCACAGGCGGCTGCGTTCTCCTCCAGTAAAGGCCCCGGCCAGAGGCTTCACGTGTCATCTCTGCTCCCACCACGGGGCCAGGAGACACTGCCGTGCTCCATGTCTGTGATATAACTGAACAGGAATGACAGACATCTCAGTTTGCTTAACATGTGTGACCACTGAGGAGCAAATCCAGACATGGTCTAAAGTACCCAGCACACGGTACCCACCCAGCACACAGTACCCAGCACATGGTACCCAGCATACAGTACCCAGAACACAGTACTCACCCAGCACGGTACTCAGCCCATAGTGCCCAGAACATGGTACTCAGCGAAACAGTCCCTAGAACATGGTACTCGGCACACCTAAGGGTGGGAAATACGTGTAATAGAACTGAGACTCTTAGACTTCAACAGGAATAACAGTTGCGGGACAGGGGGGAAGGGGACATACCCTGGTACCAGGACTGTTTTCCGGAAGCCTTGGCTGAGCCAGGTCCAGCTCTGGCCCCTCCCTGCCCTGCTCCTTGGCTTTGCCAAGAGCCTCCTGGGATGTCCAGAGAACCTAGGCCTAGTCTTCTTTTCCATTCTCTGCAGGAGCCTTTGTTTCCTCCCACAACTCCGGGGCCTTGCTCTCCTCCCCTCCCCTCTTTCAGCCAAAGCAGCACCGAAAACATCACATGAGGAGAGTTGTGGCATTGCGTACTTGGCGGTCAATCCATCAGGCGCTATTTGCCCGTTTGGTTCAGTTTGGTTCCCCGAGGCCATTTTAAGATTCTTTTCCTACAAGTGGCATAAACCCACTTCTATTAAGGAAAAGAAAATTCGCTGGGGTAGGGGAGAAGTTCAGACTCAACAGTAGCTTCAGGACTGGCTAGATCCAGGTGCTCAGAGCGTGAATCCCTCCCTGGGTCTCCAGATGCTGGCTTTGCTCGCCCCCAAGAGGGCTGGGTTCTCAGGCAGGCCTTTCCTATGCCCTGGCAAAGAGGGCCCCACACCTCCACAGCTCAGGAATTCAGCATGAAACAAAGTGTCTACTCCCCAGCAGTTCCAACCAAACTCTCTGGGCCGGTTCTCATTGGCCCAGATGTGTCACGTGACTACCACTGAGCCAATCACTGTGGCGCCCGCCCAGGTCCCGTATTGGGTAATCCTAACATCTTCATCCGGATGGCAGGGATGGTGGTGGGAGGGGTGAGTCCTTGGAGGAAACCTGGGGTGCTGGTAGCAGAAGAGGGGGCGCTGGTGCTGGGTGGGTGGGAGTCAGCAGCCCCGGGCTCCTCCACGCGGCCTGGGGGAGAAGGGCCTGAGGCATGTGTCGGTACCAAGGGGCCGCAGGCGGCTCAGACCTCAGCTTCTCCCGCATCTCCCCCCACAGGGCACCCCTGAAGCTGCTCTGCGACAACATGAAGTACCAGATCCTTTCCAGAGCCTTCTACGGATGTGCGTATGGCGTCTCCCTTGCGGTGGGGTCTGTGATGATCACTTACGGCCAGCAAGCCAGTGATGACGGAGGAAGGGGCCGGCTGCTCCATTTCCTCCATGCCTCTCCAAGACTCAGTTTCCCCATCCACGCACAGACAAGGCTTATCTCTGGGCCCTCAGAGAGGACTGTGGGCCCTGGGGACAGGGGTTCGGTCTAGTCACCACCACGTCCCCATGAGGGATTCAGGACTGCATGAATAACACATGCACCCTCCCCTAGTACTTAGCTGTAGCTGCTCAATAAATGTCAGCTTCTTTCTGTGGGCCGGAGAGTGAGGCAGCCTGATCCCTTCCCAAACACTTACAAACTGAGCTTGTAATACAGTAATACTCAGAAGAGACACTAAGGCACAGAAGGGCAAAGTGACTTTCCAAAGGTCACAGCTGGGACTTGAATCCTAGCCTGCCTTTTGTTGGTTTCATTTTCCCCTCTCCCCTATGTGGATTCTTAGCATGTTTTATTTCCCCAGCCTCACAATCTACTTGGGTTGTACTAGGGTTTGAACTCAGGACCTTGTGCTCACTAGGCAAGTGCTCTACCACTTGAACCACTCCTCCAGCGCTTTTCTGTGCTGTTCGTTCCTGAGATAGGATCTCGATGCCTGCCCAGGCCCATGCCTGGACTGCAGTCTGCCTATTTTCAGCTTCTCATGGTCACTGGGATGGCAGGCGTCCACCACTGAGCCTGGCCTCTCCTACTGAGAGGGTCTTGTGGACTCTGCTGCCCGGGGCCATCCTAGAACCGCCACCCTCTGGAGCAGCTAGGATGACAGACATTGGGGCTAGGGGGCCATGACAGGTTGCTGGGGGGGGGGATGGGCAGGAGGTGTTGGGGTGTCTTATCTCCCTTGCCTCCTCCCGCAGGGCTGGCCTACTGCAGGCACCTGTCCACCGTGCGGACCCACCTGTCGGCCCTGGTCAACCACGTGATCGTGTCCCCTGACCTGCCCTGCGATGCCGGGCAGGGGCTGACAGCCGGGATCTGGGAGCAGTACCTTCGGGACAGCACCGTGAGTAGGCCTGGCCCGCGCATGCATACTGGGCCAGGACCCAGGGGGGCTGGGAACCACACCTTGCTAGCACAGACCCAACAGGCCCTGCCTGAGTCCCATGCCTGCCTGCCTTCAGAGTTCCCTCCTCTTCCCAAGACATGTCAGGTGGGGCGCGCCTAAGCAGGCTCCGAAATGTTCCAAAATCCAAACCTTGATGGGCACCAACACAAAAGCCCGGCGGGGCATGGGACACCCACACTGACCGGTGTGGGTCACAGTGAAAAACCCAACGCGCTGAAAATATACAGACTTCCCTTGCAGTGCTCATTTCCAAGGGTTTGGAAAGATCTGTGGGTCTCCGAGCTCCGCTCCGGCTGCACTGGCTTAGCACATCGGGAGAGGAGCCCAAGGGCCCATATTCTTCCTGAGGTTCGCCCAGTGCTCTGGTACCTGTCCTTGGAGGAAGCAGTCTAAGGCCCAGCTGACCGCCTCAGCTCATCAAAAGTGAACCATGATCCGGGCTAATGGCTCACACCTGTAATCCCTGCTATACAGGGGGCTGAGATCTGAGGATCATGGTTCAAAGCCAGCCCAGGCAGGAAAGTCTGTGAGACTCTTATCTCCAATGAACCACCAAAAAGTCAGAAGTGAAGTAGTAGCTCAATTGGTAGAGCTAAGAACTCAGGAGCGGTGGTCAGGCCTGAATTCAAGCCCCAGGTTGGGCGCACGCGCACTCGCGCACACACGCAGCTAAAAGTTGTGAGTCACCCAAGAGTGCATAGCTGCTAGTGTGTGAGCCGTAGCTGGAGTGTTTATTCTGTGCTTTATTTAGAGTTGGATCCTGGAAAGTAATATTTCGAAATAAGCACAGGATGAAGCACTGATTGAGAATTAAGTGAACGTGTTAGTCACAGCTGCTGGCCTTTTTTACTTTCTTTTTTACAAAACAATACATGTTGTGTTTCTTGTCCTTTTCCGTTTGACTCGGCGATGCACACTGAGCACTTGGATACCTCAGCCCTCGTAGGCGGCCCCCGGCCTCGCAGCATTTGCGTGGATGGACTGGCTGCATTCCACCCTTGGGGGTTCCCAGGGTTTGAAGTTCCTGGGGTTTGGCTCTTTGAAACGGCACCAGGATAAATATCCTGGCACATTTGGTGCACTCGTCAGCTTTCTGTTATTATAACAAACACCCGAGCTTTATATCAGCTTGTGAAGAGCAAAAGTGTGTTTGACCAGGGCCTGGGAGCTGTCAGTCAGGGACCGACTGGCCCTGTTGCGCTGAGCCTGTGGCAGACAGTGCACCATGGCGAGGAGCCTCAGAGTGCGCCCCAAGGCCCAGTGCCACACAGAGAGCAAGAAGGCAGGGCTGGGGCCTACTGCACCCTCTAAGGAGCCCCAGCTCCCCCTGGGCCCTACTTCCTGAAGGTTCTATTTCCTTCCAGAAGCACCACCCTGGGGACCCACGCCTGGGCCTTTGGAGCCCACTCTAGGGAGGCAGAGGGCCGGGCCCAGACAGGATGGCAGGGTGGGTGACAGCTGCCCCAGTCCTCAGCAGCTGACCCGACGTGCTGCTTCCCACCCCGCCCGCAGAGCTACGAGGAGCAGGAGCTGCTGCGGCTCGTCTACTACGGGGGCGTCCAACATGAGATCCGCAAGGCTGTGTGGCCCTTCCTCCTGGGCCACTACCACTTCGGGATGACGGAGGCAGAGAGGAAGGAGGTCGGTGCCAATTTGGACGGTGGTGCTGGCCACATCATGGAGCCAGCCACTGTGGGGCGTGGAGACCAGGGAGGGGTGGGGAGGGGTGGGGAGCTATGAAGGAGACCACAGCCTTTTGTTCTGAGACGGTTGAAGATTGACACCCTGTGTATCCAATGGCAGCACGCTCCAATATCATAGCAGGTGGGCCTTGGGGTTGTATGCCTGTCTGATTCAGGCTTCCCTGTTTACTTGTGTGTGTGTGTGTGTGTGTGTGTGTGTACAGGTGCACACAGTGTAGGTGCCTGACATTTTATCAAGAGGAAATGCAATACAACAATTCATGCTATTAAAATCGCTATGTACAATATATCACCATCCTGACACATAATCTACAGGCATGACCAGGCCTTGTTTCCACTCTCTCACTCACACTGAGTTTTTGAGATTGTTGGTTTTCCGCCTCTTTCTGGCCGTCATCGTACTGGCATTAACGTCACATCTATCTTAAAGAAATTCACTCTCACCGGGCGCCGGTGGCTCACACCTATAATCACTAGCTACTCAGGAGGCTGAGATCTGAGGATCACTCTTCAGAACCAACCTGGGCAGCAAAGTCTGTGAGACTCTTCAATTCACCACCGGAAAACCGGAAGTGGCTCTGCAGCTCAAAACAGTCGAGCGCTAGCCTTTAGCCAAAGTGCTTAGGGACAGTGCCCAGGCCCTGAGTTCAAGCCCCACATCCAACAAGAAAGAAAGAAAAGAAAAAGAACGCTAAGTGTTTAAGGAGAAGGAAATGCTCAGTGGCCCCGATGTAATTAGCATGCATGTGTCACACAGCCACACAGGGACTGTGCGTCAGTTAGACATGACCTGTTGAAGACAGATGTGGTCGGGTGTGGGGGTGTTCAATGACAGGTCACCTCACTGACGTAACCTGGGAAGGAGAAGCAGAGCAGGAAGTGGGAGCCCCCCAGGATGGGGGCTACCTCAGTCCTCTGTGAGCCACAACCCTTCTTCCTAAACTTGCTGAGTCTCAGTGACAGGGCTCTGGGGGTGCCAGGCCCTCCCCCCCTCCTCCTGCTCAGAACCGGTTCCAGAGGTGCACTGGGTGGGCTCCATGCCGAGGGCAGGAGGTCAGCCAGGGTGGGCGGGCTGGCAGTGCCCAGGCCCCGGGCGCTCAGCGACCTTGACCCACCCGCCACAGGTGGACGAGCAGATCCACGCCTGCTACGCGCAGACCATGTCTGAATGGCTGGGCTGCGAGGCCATCGTGAGGCAGCGGGAGCGGGAATCCCACGCCGCCGCCCTGGCCAAGTGCTCGTCGGGGGCCAGCCTGGACAGCCACCTGCACCGCATGGTGCACAGGGACTCCACCATCAGCAACGAGGTGATGGACGGTGCGCCCCGCCACCTGGGCATGGGGGCGCAGCGGGGAGCGGGGGAGGCTCAGGGCCAGGGGCCTTGAGTAGGTCTCATCCTTAGCTTCTTTTCATTTTCTGAGGGGGTTACCGAGGAATGTTGGAATTTCGGTTCAAATTCCTGCTCTAGCTCTGGGATCTCCTGCACACAGCTTCACCCGCGGACCCCCATTTCTGCATGTACAGAATGGAGGTGATTGGGAGTAAGGAGGCGTATGTGCAGTGTAGCACAGCACCCTGCTTCCTCGTAGTCAACAAATGCAGGCCAAGTACCTACTATGTGCCAGCTACCGTCTGGAGCGTGTCCAGCACGTTCCAGTCCCCAGGGCAGGAATCTGCCTATACAGAAGCTCCAGTTGAACAGCCCAAAGTAGGCCCTCACACGCAGCATGCACACTGCTCCTCACCGTGGCCCCCGAGCCGGTGGGTCAGCCTGCGGGCTCCCATCCAAGCAGCACAGGGTGGGGGGGTCACCCGGGAACCAGCCCTCTGGAGGCCGGTGGCCTTGACCATGCTGTGTCTGGTATGCTGGCTGTGCACCACACCTCTCAGCCTCCCGCTGGCAGCCAGGCCATGCTGTCCCACGGAGCAGGTGCAGGTTGGGCTCTGCCCTGCTGGGTTTGCTGGCACCTGTGGCCCACACACGTGGGTGGCCAGGTCTGGCTTCAGAGTGGGCACGGATGGGAAGCTGGAGGGAGGCTGCCAGCCTTAATAGAGCAGTTACGGGTGGAGGGTTGCGGTGCGGGGGATGGGAGGCCGGGGCCCCCAGCAGGTTCTGGGGAGCAGGAGAGTGCCCCCACTTTCACTTTAGAGCCAAGAACCTGAATCCAAGGATGGGGCCTTGTCCCCCAGGACAAAGGTAGATGGCTTCCCAGCCCAGCAGCCCTTCCTGAGCTGGCTGGTGGGAGGGGGGCGGTGAGGAGGGGGCTCACCCCTGTTCCTCCTCCTCCTTTCCCTCCAGTCCTCCCAGAGCTGCAGCTCAGGCCGCCAGAACCTCCGCCTGCAGAGCGACTCCAGCAGCAGCACACAGGTGACCTTCACAGGCCACGCCCACTCAGCACCACGGCCCGTCTGGCCCCCTCCAGGCCACGCCCACTCCTCATCTCGGCCTGGCTGGCCTTGCCTATGCCACGCCCATTCCGCATCATGTTCCCTCTGGCCCCGCCCTCACCATGCCTTGTCTGCACCCCGCCCTCCCCGGCCCCGCCCCTTCTCTGCACCCCGCCCTCCCAGGCCCCGCCCCTTCCCTCCGTGCCCCGCCCACTCCGGCCTATCCCCACCCACAGGTCCTCGGACCCACGGGTCCTTGGGATGGCTCATTGGTTGTGCGCTGGTCCCATTGCATTTGTATGTGTTAGGTTTTCGTACTTACCCTTAAAAATGGGAGTTTTCAGTGACACAAGTAATACCGTATCCCCTTGGTGTCCTCAGTGGGGTGGCTCCAGGACACCGCCATGGATACCAGGTCTAGGGCCGCTCAGGTTCTGTAACGTGGCTCAGACCCAGACATGTGCAGGTATTTCTTTGAAATAATGGGAGCTTACACGGCACCTCCTCCCGCCTCTCTTTTCACTGACTGAATAGTATTCCTCCACATCTGCCCCTGCTGGGCACCCCGCCCGTCTATCTCTGTGCTCCGTGTCTGCAGGTATTTGAGTCGGTGGATGAGGTGGAGCAGGTGGAAGCAGAGGGCAGGTTGGAGGAGAAACAGCCCAAGATCCCCAACGGGAACCTGGCGAACGGCACGTGCTCGCCCGACTCCGGCCATCCCTCCTCTCACAACTTCTCCTCCGGCCTCTCGGAGCACTCGGAGCCCAGTCTGAGCACGGAGGACAGCGTGTTGGACGCCCAGCGGGGCGGGGCCCCGACGTTCCGGCCCGGGGACAGCAGCGTGGACGAGGGGCAGAGCAGCGAGGCCACCACGTCCCGGGACGAGGCCCCTCGGGAGGAGCTGGTCGTGCAGGACAGCCTGGAGAGCGACCTGCTGGCCAACGAGAGCATGGACGAGTTCATGTCCATCTCGGGCAGCCTGGACGTGGCCTTGCCCGAGAAGGACGGCCCCGCCGTGGAGGGCTGGCGGGCCGGCGAGGCGAAGCAGAGCCGAGGGGACAGCGAGGACAATCTCTCAGAGGAGCCTGAGATGGAAAGTCTCTTCCCCGCCCTGGCCTCCCTGGCCGTGGCCACTCCTGCCACCAACGAGGCGTCCCCTGTGTCCTCCAGTGGCGTTACCTACTCGGTAAGTCACCAGGGCCTCCCTCTCCCTCACTTTCCTATCGCCAGCTGGCCTCCAGTGAGGAGACCGGGCTCTACTGCAAGCTCCATTTATCCTGCCCAACCCAGGAGGGAGGCTCTTCTCTCCAACATGGGAGCGTCACTGTTAGGCACTCATTAGGGAGAGAGAGGTAGTATAGGTAGAGCATCTTCGATTCAAACTTCCAACATGCTCCAAGACGGATGCAGCAGCGCATGCCTGTAGTCCCAGCCACTCGGGATTAAAAAGTTTCATTTAAAATTTTATGTGTGCTCCTTTTAAATAGGCTGATTTTGTAGACCTGCTTTTATCTTGACCCCGCATATACTTTCTTTACAAACTTAAATCACAAGCCAGGGACCAGTGGCTCATGCCCATAACCCTGGCTGAGATCTGAGGATCAAGGTTCAAAGCCAGCCCAGACAGGAAAGTTCATGAGGCTCTTAACGCCAGTAAACTACTCAGAAGTGGTGCTGTGGCTCAAAGTGGTAGACTGCTAAGCCTTGAGCAAAAAAAAAAAAGCTCAGAGGTAGTGCCTAGGCCCTGAACTCAAGCCCCATGACTGACAAAAAAACGACAACGCTTGTATCCCTAGACCAGCTTCCTGCGTGTTGTGTGAGCTGGGGACGGAGCTCCTGTGTCGTGCTGCCTGGGGAAGCAGCCATGGGAGACTCCTCACCCTGCAGGGCTCAGACAGCAACGCCTCGGCTTCCATCTCCACAGCTTCCCCAAAGCAAAACCGCCCGTTTGCTGTCTTCTCTGTGTCTGGTGCACTTGAGACCTTGGAATTCTCCTCCTTTCCCCTCTGTCTGGTTGAGCTGTCGTCAGTGCTGTGCATCAAGGCATCTGCCTGGTGTGGCCTCAGGATGGCCTTTCTGTTCAGCTCTTTCACCGTCCGGTCTGGTGCTCAGCAGGGAGGGGCCGTGGCCAGCTCTGGTCCAGTCTCTGATTCTCTGTTCCTCCACAAGGAGAACAGAATAAAACAGAATCAATATTTTATTTATTTGTCAGTCGTGGGGCTTGAACTCCAGGCCTGGGCGCTGTCCCTCATCTCTTCAAAGCGAGCACTTTATCACTTGAGCCACAGCACCACTTCCGGTTTTCTGGTGGTTTATTGGAGATAAGAGTCTCACGGACTTTCCTGCCCAGACTGAGTTTGAACCATGATCTTTAGATCTGAGTCTACTAAACTAAAAACAAAGAGATACATGCATGAAGGAGGAGGGGGAGAGGGGGCCTGTGTCCCTGTCACCCAGCCTGGGGGGTCACTTTGCTCCCCTCCCCCTACACCCACAGCCAGAGCTGCTGGACCTGTACACCGTCAACCTGCACCGTATCGAGAAGGATGTGCAGCGCTGCGACCGCAACTACTGGTACTTCACGCCCGCCAACCTGGAGAAGCTGCGCAACATCATGTGCAGGTGGCTGGGAGGGGGGACACGGGGGGGGGGGAGTGGAGGCTGGGGGAGCAGAGGCCCGTGGGGACAGGGGGGGGATAGGGGGAGCTCAAAGAAACTGAGGAGGAGGAAGCAGCAAGCAGGGTCCTACTAGAGCAGACCAGCAAGAACAAATTTCAGCCAGGCACCAGTGGCTCACACCTGTAATCCCAGCTGCTCGGGAGGCTGAGATCTGAGAACCACAGTTCTAAGAAACCCCAGAAAGTCTGTGAGACCCTTATCTCCCATTACCCACCAAAAAGCCTGACATGGAGCTGTGTGGCTCAAGTGGTAGAGCACTAGCCTTGATCAAAAACTCTCAGAGATGGACCCAGACCATGAGTTCAAGCCCTACGACTGACAAACTTACAAAAAAGTGGGGAGGGGCTGGGAAGGTGGCTCAGTGGTGAGCGCTTGCCTTGCATGCCTGAGGCCCTGGGTTCGATTCCTCAGCACATAAGCAAAAAGAAAAAAACTGGAAGTGACGCTGTGGCTCAAGTGGTAGAGCGCTAGCCTTGAGCTGAAGAGCTGAGGGACAGCGCCCAGGCCCAGAGTTCAGGCCCCACAACCGGACCCAAAAAAAAACAAACAAACCAAAAAAGACCAAAAAAGTGGGGAGGAGGGAGGAGCAGTGGGGAGGAGGGAGGAGCAGTGGGAGGAGGGGAGGGGCAGTGGGAGGAGGGAGGAGCAGTGGGAGGAGGGGAGGGACAGTGGGGAGGAGGGAGGAGCAGTGGGAGGAGGGGAGGAGCAGTGGGAGGAGGGGAGGAGAGTGGGGAGGAGGGAGGAGCAGTGGGAGGAGGGGAGGAGCAGTGGGAGGAGGGGAGGAGAGTGGGGAGGAGGGAGGAGCAGTGGGAGGAGGGGAGGAGAGTGGGGAGGAGGGAGGAGCAGTGGGAGGAGGGGAGGGACAGTGGGGAGGAGGGAGGAGCAGTGGGAGGAGGGGAGGAGCAGTGGGAGGAGGGGAGGAGAGTGGGGAGGAGGGAGGAGCAGTGGGAGGAGGGGAGGAGAGTGGGGAGGAGGGAGGAGCAGTGGGAGGAGGGGAGGAGAGTGGGGAGGAGGGAGGAGCAGTGGGAGGAGGGGAGGAGAGGGGAGGAGGGAGGAGCAGTGGGAGGAGGGGAGGGGCAGTGGGAGGAGGGAGGAGCAGTGGGAGGAGGGGATGGACAGTGGCGTCCTGTGTCTCTCACAGCTACATCTGGCAGCACATTGAGATCGGCTATGTGCAGGGCATGTGTGACCTTCTGGCCCCACTGCTGGTCATCCTGGATGACGGTGAGCACCCTCCCTGGTCCAGGCCTGGGGCGCTGGTGGCTTTCCTGCCACCGGCTGAGGGGGCGTCCTCCCGTCAGGCGACGGTGCTAGGGAAATGGGAGGGATTTAGGCTCAGACCTGTCCCACCCTTGCCGGTGTGACAAGTGCCAGCAATGTGCCGGCACAGGTACGGCAGCTTCACCGTGAGTCCTAGAGCTGAGGATTGCAGAAAGGGAAGTTTGGGCAGGACGACCCATCCTCTGTGTGGTGGCAAGCAGATGTTTGCCGGAGGGCTCTGCCCTCGCTGCCCCTAGCAGAGCCCCCCTCCCCCCAGGCCCCATCCCCCAGGTCGGAGTGCACTCCTGCATACAGCACCCGCCAGGGCTCGCTTCCCCACCGGTCTCCCACGTGGCTGGGGATCTGTGGGCCCAGGGCAGGGTCCCTGCTGACCATGTGTCCCGCACCGCCCCCAGAGGCCCTGGCCTTCAGCTGCTTCACGGAGCTCATGAAGAGGATGACTCAGAACTTCCCGCACGGGGGCGCCATGGACACACACTTTGCCAACATGAGGTCGCTGATCCAGGTATGGGGGGGCAGGGAGCTCCGTCCTACTGGGAACAGTGAGGACTCCCGGCTCCATGACAGAGCCTGAGCTCCTGAGCCACCCCGGCGTCCAGTCTTACCTCTGCCCCTTGAGAGCTATGGGTCGCGTGTGCCTTTCTCTGTCCGGATCCCAGGGTCTGCATCTGATTCCAAGTAAGTCATTACAGTTAGGGAAATGGAGGAAGTTAACGCCTTTGTGACACTTGGCATACTAACCAGACCAGAGGAGGGTGCGAGCACTGCCCAAGAGCTAACGCCTGCATCACAGTCTCCAGCCCCCACCTGCCCGCCCCCCTGTGCCCACCCTCCTGTGCCCACCCTCCTGTGCCCGTCCTCCTGTGCCCGCCCCCCTGTGCCCGTCCCCCTGTGCCCACCCTCCTGTGCCCACCCTCCTGTGCCCACCCTCCTGTGCCCGTCCTCCTGCGCCCGTCCTCCTGCGCCCACCCTCCTGTGCCCGTCCTCCTGTGCCCACCCTCCTGTGCCCACCCTCCTGTGCCCGTCCTCCTGTGCCCGTCCTCCTGTGCCCACCCTCCTGTGCCCGTCCTCCTGTGCCCGTCCTCCTGTGCCCGTCCTCCTGCGCCCACCCTCCTGTGCCCGTCCCCCTGTGCCCACCCTCCTGTGCCCGTCCCCCTGTGCCCACCCTCCTGTGCCCGTCCTCCTGTGCCCGTCCCCCTGTGCCCACCCTCCTGTGCCCACCCTCCTGTGCCCGTCCTCCTGTGCCCACCCTCCTGTGCCCGTCCTCCTGTGCCCGTCCTCCTGTGCCCGTCCTCCTGCGCCCACCCTCCTGTGCCCGTCCCCCTGTGCCCACCCTCCTGTGCCCGTCCCCCTGTGCCCACCCTCCTGTGCCCACCCTCCTGTGCCCGTCCTCCTGTGCCCACCCTCCTGTGCCCGTCCTCCTGTGCCCGTCCCCCTGTGCCCGTCCTCCTGTGCCCGTCCTCCTGTGCCCACCCTCCTGTGCCCACCCTCCTGTGCCCACCCCCCTGTGCCCGCCCTCCTGTGCCCACCCTCCTGTGCCCGCCCTCCTGTGCCCACCCTCCTGTGCCCACCCTCCTGTGCCCACCCTCCTGTGCCCACCCTCCTGTGCCCGTCCCCCTGTGCCCGTCCTCCTGTGCCCACCCTCCTGTGCCCACCCTCCTGTGCCCACCCTCCTGTGCCCACCCTCCTGTGCCCACCCTCCTGTGCCCACCCTCCTGTGCCCGTCCCCCTGTGCCCGTCCTCCTGTGCCCGCCCTCCTGTGCCCACCCTCCTGTGCCCGCCCTCCTGTGCCCACCCTCCTGTGCCCGTCCTCCTGTGCCCACCCTCCTGTGCCCGTCCTCCTGTGCCCGTCCCCCTGTGCCCACCCTCCTGTGCCCGTCCCCCTGTGCCCGTCTTCCTGTGCTCGCGCTGCTGGCTGGCCCCCATTCCCGTCCTCCCAGGCATCCTCGCGTTGGTGACATGATCACCTCCATGCCGTTAAAAGCCTTTACTACAAAGATGCAAACGTGCGCACCCCGCGCGCGGCCTCGGCGCCGCCCTGTGGGGTGGGGAGGCTCGCGTCCCGCGCTGTGAGCGGTTCGTCCCCCGCCGCGAGGGCTGGGCTGCGGGCCTGCCCCGCTCCCCGCTGGCTTGGCCTGGGCGGGCCCCAGGGGTTCCCGCGTGTCTTCCCGCGCGCTGCGGCGTTGCACGCGCTGGCCTCACGCCTCAACCTCAGCACGTCCGCTGTGACGTCACGTGCTCAAGGGTCACGTCAGCTGTGACCGCACGTATGTGTGACGTTGCGACCCCTGTGACGCCACACATCTGGTGACGCCACGCCGCCCTGCGGACGCGGGGCTCGGGGTCACGCCCGGCACGCCGCCTGCGGACGCGGGGCTCGGGGTCACGCCCGGCACGCCGCCTGCGGACGCGGGGCTCCGGTTCACGCCCGGCACGCCGCCTGCGGACGCGGGGCTCGGGGTCACGCCCGGCACGCCGCCTGCGGACGCGGGGCTCGGGGTCACGCCCGGCACGCCGCCCTGCGGACGCGGGGCTCGGGGTCACGCCCGGCACGCCGCCTGCGGACGCGGGGCTCGGGGTCACGCCCGGCACGCCGCCTGCGGACGCGGGGCTCGGGGTCACGCCCGGCACGCCGCCCTGCGGACGCGGGGCTCGGGGTCACGCCCGGCACGCCGCCTGCGGACCCGGGGCTCGGGTTCACGCGTGCATCTCTTGTGCCGTGGGCCATTCGAGACCGGCTCCAGTTTGGCATTACTTCAAGTGACGCCGCTGTGCGCATTCACTCGCCAGCTTTGGGAAGCACCGGGGTTTGATCTCACGACCCTGACTTTCTGGTAGATGCTCTACTTGAGCTACACCTCCAGCCCTTTTTGGTCCAATTTTGAGACAGGGTCTCTCTTTCTTCCCAGGTTGGCCTCCTTATGCTTCCCTCCTTCGCTGGGATAACACCCGGCTTTTTCTACTGAGATGGCGACTTAAAAACTTTCCCCTCCCCTGGGTTGTTGTAGAACTACAATCCTTCCTGCTTAGCTGGGGTTACAGGTGTGAGCCACCAGGACCCCGCCCCCATGTACACACGTTTTGTGGACATGCTTTCATTTTCTGGGGACTAAAATGTAGAGTGGAATCGTGAATCATGGTGACCCTGTGTTTCACTTTTCCAGAAACTTCCTGTGTTTTCCCATGGAGCCGTACCAGTTTGCATTCGCAGGATCAGTGTACATGGATTCCCATTGCTCCTTATCCTAGCCAACACTTACTCCTGTCTACCGTTTTGATTTGGGCTCCCATGGGTGTGTTCCAGTGTGGGTTTTAGTTGCATTTCCCCTGTGATTGCCGACGTGGAGCCTCCTGGGCATTTCTGTATCTCTGGACAGACACTTATTGCTAGCCTTGGGGACAGTCCACAGCTCCTGGTTGCTGAGGGCTGGCTGGGCGCGGTGTGCTTGTGCGCCGTCCCCGACTCGGCTGTGGCCCAACGCCTTGCTGCCAGGCTGACGCGACCTCTCCTTCCTCCGACAGATCCTGGACTCAGAGCTGTTCGAGCTGATGCACCAGAATGGGGACTACACACACTTCTACTTCTGCTACCGCTGGTTCCTGCTGGATTTCAAGCGAGGTATGGACTTGACTGTGGGGCCTTGTTCTTGCTCTCTTCATACCAGAAGCTCAGGGGAGGGGAGGCAGCAGAAGAGCACATTTATCTAGGTTTATATGTCCAAATTTATCCAAATCATTGGCATCGTAATGACCTTTCATGGGCCACGTGTGGTTCGTGCCTGTAATCCCAGCTACTCAGGAGGCAGAGATAGGAAGATCATGGTCTGAGTCCAGCGAGGCTCTATACGAAGAACCCGCTGAAAAGCAAACAAGGGCTGGAGACGTGGCACAGGGGATCGAGGGCCTGCCTAGCAAGTGCAAAGCCCTGAGTTCAACTCCCAGCCCCGCCAAAATAAATAAAGACATAAAATAAAAATCTAACACGTAGGAGACGTGTGTTACGCGCACGGACTGTGCTCAGCCAGTTCTGTTCTCCCTGGCTCTTCACCACACACAGCATCCTCACCCCATGCGCCGGTGGGTGAGAGGCCAAGGAGGGAAGGAAGGTGCTAGAAGCGATGCAGCCACATCTCCAGCCAAGCAGAGCCTGCTTAGAACACTTGCTGTCTTCTGGCGTGTGTGTGTCTGTGTCTGTGTGTCTGTGTCTGTGTCTGTGTGTGCCAGTACTGGCCCCCTGCCCTTGCTTGGCTATGTTGTTCAAGGTTGGCCCTGTTTCCACGCGAGCCACACCTCCACGTCTCGCTTCTGGCTGCTTCATTGGAAACGAGAGTCTCTCGGATGTGTCTGTTTAAGCTGGCTTTGAACTCTGACCCTCCGATCTCAGCCTCCCGCGTAGCTAGGATTACAGGCGTGAGCCACCAGTGCCCAGCTTTTTTCTGTCTCGTTACTGGACTTGCAGGCAGCCCCCCGCTCTGCCCGTGTAACAGAATGGCAGGAGGCCCTCTCTGGGGTGCTACTGAGCAGGAGCGTGTCCGCTGTGGAGGGCCAGGCCCTGCGGGCCACACCTGCTCGTGCTCAGCTCCTGCGCTTCCAGGGTAGGCGCTGGAAGGGCCTTACCCCCTCCGGGGCACACCCGTTCTGCAGATGGGGAATCCAAGGGGTGGGGGTGAAATGGATCCAGCTCTCCTGCCTCTGACGCAGCGCTGTCTGCTGCCCTGGGGCACTGGCACACATCCCTGCTGCTCCTCAATTGTCCCAGAGCGTCTCCTGGGGAGGGGGTGCCGGCCAATGGGGGGCAGAACTGACCCCACGCGCATGCGTGCCGGTGGCTGGGTACAGCACGTGTCTGGCGGCTGACCCATGCGCATGCGCGTGGGTGCCTCGGTAGAGCTCGTGTCTGACCCATGCGCATGTGTGTCGGTGTCTCGGTAGAGCGCGTCTGACCCATGCGCATGCGTGTCGGTGTCTCGGTAGAGCGCGTGTCTCATGCGTGTCAGTGTCTCGGTAGAGCGCGTGTCTGGCGGCTGACCCATGCGCATGCGTGTCGGTGTCTCGGTAGAGCGCGTGTCTGACGGCTGACCCATGCGCATGCGTGTCGGTGTCTCGGTAGAGCGCGTGTCTGAAGGCTTGCGCATGCGTGTCGGTGTCTCGGCAGAGAGCGTGTCTGACGGCTGACCCATGCGCATGCGTGTCGGTGTCTCGGCAAAACTCGTGTCTGACGGCTGGCCCATTGCACATGCGTGTCGTTGTCTCAGTAGAGCGCGTTGCGCATGCGTGTCGGTGTCTCGGTAGAGCGCGTGTCTGACGGCTGACCCGTTGCGCATGCGTGTCGGTGTCTCGGTAGAGCGCGTGTCTGACGGCCGACCCCTTGCGCATGCGTGTCGGTGTCTCGGTAGAGCGCGTGTCTGATGGCCGACCCCTTGCGCATGCGTGTCGGTGTCTCGGCAGAACTCGTGTACGACGACGTGTTCTCAGTGTGGGAGACCATCTGGGCAGCCAAGCAGGTGTCATCAGCCCACTACGTGCTGTTCATCGCGCTGGCCCTGGTGGAGGTCTACCGGGACATCATCTTGGAGAACAACATGGACTTCACCGACATCATCAAGTTCTTTAATGGTACCCCGTGGCCGGGGCGGGCGCGGCGGGGCCCTGCCCACTTCCCGTGGCACTTTCCAGAAGGACAGAGGGTGTACTGCTTCTCCAGGACCAGGAGCAGGGCTCAGGGCAAAGCCCAAGAGTTGCAGACTTTTGTCCCCAGGCTGGCCTCGAACCTTGGTTCTCCAGATCTCAGCCTCCCGAGTAGCTAGGATGACAGACGTGAGCCACCAGTGCCAGGCACCCCCTTGCCCCTTTAAAAGGCTAGCCAGGCTCCAAGGGCTCACATCTGTCATCCAAGCTACTCAGGGGGCTGAGATTTTAGGATCACAGTTCAAAGCCAGCCTATGCAGGAAAGTCCACGAGACTCCTATTTCCAATTAACCATTAAAAAGCCAGAGATGGAGCTGTTGCCCAAGTGGTAGAGCGCCAACCTTGAGCAGAAGAAGCTGAGTTCAAGCCCCAGTAGTCACACACACACACACACACACACACACACACACACACACACAGTTGTGTGTTGGGGCCATGGCAGAGTCCAGTCGAGGCTGGCAGTGAAATTTGTCTTCTGCTCTTCCAGAAATGGCTGAGCGACACAACACAAAGCAAGTCCTGAAGCTGGCCCGGGACCTGGTGTACAAGGTGCAGACCCTGATTGAAAACAAGTGAGGCCTTCTCTTCCCGTCCTCCACCTCCTCCCCCACCGGAATGAAGTGAGGCTGGCTTGAGGCTGGCTTGGCGTCCCAGCGTCCAGTCGTAGCATGGACGGCGCAGAGGCACAGATGCTTTGACTTTGGCTGCCGGGCAGGGGGCCGCGGGGTGGCCCTTCCAGCTCAGCCTTACGTTTTCCTGTTTGACCAAAGATGGTTGGAGCGCCTGCTTCCCCCTGGTGGAGCTGGGGTGTGGGTGGAGGTGGCCTCTCTTCCCTCCTGTCCCGGGTTCCCCTTCCCTCATCTTTGCATCTTTTGGGAAATGGGTGTAGCACAGCTCTCTAGGGCTCGCCTCTCAGTTTTACCGACATTTGACACTAGGGGGCGCGCTGTGCACCGGAAGGTGGGGAATCAGCATCCCCGCTTTCTACACCTCTCCACCCCAAATGTCCTGTTTGCCAAAAGCCCTGTGGGGCAAAATTGCCCCCCATTTAAGAAGCCCTGGCTTCGATGAGGGGCCCCTTGCTTTATCCTAAGTTCCCCTCTGCCCCAGACCTCCCGGGTCCCAGAAGGAAAAGCACACACAAGTCCTAGATCTCTGCTGTGGACCTGGCTTCTATTGCTAGATTTCCTCTTTTTTTTTTTCCCTCTTCTGATGACAAGAGAAAAATGCCCTGTGAGGGTGACAGGGCCCGGAAGTGTCTGCGGGGGAGGGGTTTCCTCCACCCCAGGGCAGGTGAGCGCCTGCCACTGCCCCCCTTCACGGGAGGGCCTGGCCGCCCGTCAGCCTCCTGGGCACGGGAAGGTGCGTGCCAGGCCGGGTGGTGCCTGGGCTCCCCGGTCAGGGAGGCCACTCCTCTCCCAGTGTTCTGCTCGCTCAGAACCAAGATGGCGAAGACAGCTGCTGGCAAGGGCAGATCTGGCCTGGGTTTTCTTCAGGGAGGATCTTCTGGTTGGCCGGTCCGCCCCCATGCCACCAACAGCCCCTGATTGGTGGGGGTGAGTGCCCTGGCCGCCTGCCCCAAGCAGAAAGCAGGCTGCCAACTCCCTCGGGGAAGGGAGGGGGACCCGCTGTCTTGTGGGGTGATGAGATTTCAGAGAGGATGCAGATGGGGACGGAAGCTGTGGTGGCAAGGACACTTCTGCCACCCCGAGGTCCACAGCCCACGGTGGCTTCCTTGCCCCACCCACCTCAGGAGGGGCCGACGGGCGTGGGGCAGGGCAGACAGACTTGTCGGTGGCCCTTCTGCCCCGCGGGGACAGCTCCGTGGGGGACGAGATTCCGCAGAGCAGAAGTGGGGGGGGGGAATGTGACATTGCCAGCCACTGCTCCAGCCTCGCCTCCCCTGCCTGGTCGCCCGCTCCCCCTTTTCCCCTTCCCCACCGTCAGATAAAAGTTTATTTTGCTACTCAGCTGTTCCTGCACAGAAGGGTTTGCATTTTAGCACCGCCTGGTCCCAGACCTCCTGATCCTTATTTATTTTTGTAAGAGACACATCTTGAAGCACAGCACAAGGTCCTCCCCCCTCCCCCCTCCGCTCCTCCTCCCCCCTCCCCGCTCCCCCGCCCCCCCCCACTCCCCCTGCCCTGTGGTGTCGCCAAGAGCCTGTGTGATGTCGCTCAGAGCCACTCGTTTCCACCGACTGCGCTCCTGCGTGCAGACGTGTGTCCACTGTGTGTGTCCAGTGTCCTGGAGCCGGCCGTGGGCGTCGGCCTCTCCGTTAAGTGCCCTCTTTTTTTCTCAGTGTTGTGAATTTACCTTACAGATGTTTACTGAAGAGTTGTGTCTATCTCTAGAGAAAAAAAAAAAAAATATATATATATATATATATATGAGCAGAGAAACGTGGATCTGTGTTGGTTTTTGTTTCTTTGGAGAATATGCTTTTAATTTGGAAAAACAAAACAAAACAAATGTTCACAGCCAGGTGCTGGTGGCTCACGCCTGTAAATCCCAGTCACTTAGGAAGCTGAAATATGAAGATCCAGGTTCAAAGCCAGCCTCAGCAAGAAAAGTCCTTGAGACTCTTTAGCTCTAATTAACCAGCAAAAAAGCTGGACTCAAGTGGTAGAGTGCAAGCCTTGAGTGCAAAAGCTAAGAGACAATGCACAGGCCCCGAGTTCAAATCCCAGGATCTGCCCTTCCTCCCTCCACCCCCCCAAAAAAAGAAGAGTATAGGTTTAATCACAAGCATTGGCTTATCTCCTGCGTGTGTGGGTCAGCGTCCGCACGGGGCTCTGCTGGTCTCTATCAGACTTCTTTGTAGGTCTGGGATCAGCTGAGGCAGCTCTGACATTGGGTAGTTGAGGGAGCCATGGGTCTCTCAGTCCTGCAGCAAGCTAGCTCAGGCTGATGTACGAGGCCAGGAAAGCACAGGTGGGGAGAGTAAGCGGGCACAGATCTCCTGGGGTTGGCACGGAGGTAAAGGTACAGAAGCCACCCCTCCTTCGTGCTGCGAACATCGCCAACCTTCACCAAGGTGCTGGACGCAGGCCGGGACCAAAGCCAGCCCCCTTGCAGATCCCACCAGCATCAGATGCAGAACAAGTTACTGTTGCACTGGGCCGCGCTGAACCCTCACACCCTGTGCTTGTCTTGTTTCCCTATAGGACGCAGTGTGACAGAGACTCAGGGTAGTTACAAAGCATGGACATTGTATCAGGTCACGCAAGCCACACAGGCAGCTTTGCTCCAGCTGGCCCAGAGACCCGGGGGCCCAAGCAACGAGGCAGTTTCTCAGCAAAAGCAGCTTTGGTGGGGGCAGGCAGAGGCTGGCGGGGAGGGGAGGGGGGCTGGCCGGCCTGGCGTGAGCATCACGGTGCTGACATGCAGTCTGCCTCTGTTCTGCTGCGTCCGGGGGTGGCTCAGGCTCTGACCATCTGGCTTCTGAGCGGCAGAGCCCGTGGCCAGCCTGAGCTCAGGACGGGTGCAGAGTCTAGGGGAACAGCACAACGTCACCCTCCCCAAGACCCCCACTGTCAGCCAGCTGCTGATGAGGCCAACCTGAGCAGAGCTTGAATCACCAGCACGGGGACCACGCGCCATCCCTGGGGCTTTTCCATCCGGTCCCAGAGCTGTGCGGGCTTCACCCGACCCCCCCGGCTGGCACTGCTCAGACGTGAGGGCATCGAGGAGCTGCAGGTGGGCACGGCTCTCAGCCAGCATGTGAGCACCCCTGAATTAAAATGTGGAGTGGAGCAGAACGCCGGTGGCTCACACCTGTCATCCTAGCTGCTCAGGAGGCTGAGATCTGAGGATGTCAGTAGGACTATGAAGTGGTAGAGTGTTAGCCTTGAGCAAAAAGAGCTCAGGGACAGTGTCCGGGACCAGAGTCAAAGCCCCTGGACTGACACTAATAAAGAACTAAAAGTAAGTCACAACGTGGAAGTGGGTGCAGAAAAGCCCTGAGCAGGTGCACTGGGGAGTCACTGGCGTGGAGAGGCGGATCCTAGGTGCCCATCCCCCACAGCACAGGCGCCACATCTGGGTGGTATACAATGGGTGCTTCCTGTCTTTTTTTTTTTTTTTTGCCAGTCCTGGGGCTTGAACTTAAGGCCTGGGCGCTGTCCCTGAGCTTCTTTTGCTCAAGGCTAGTGCTCTACCACTTGAGCCACAGCACCACTTCCAGTTTTTTCTGCATATGTGGTGCTGAGGAATCGAACCCAGGGCCTCAGGCATGCAAGGCAAGCGCTCTACCACTGAGCCACCTTCCCAGCCCTTCCTAAATGTCTCCTGGAAAACAATGTTCAAATCCTCCAAGAAGGGAGGATTTACACGCAGGGGTGGAAGACAGAGACATACACAGCAGCCCGTGAAAAGACATAGTATTGGAGCAACATCTGGGTGTTTCTTCCAGCGCAAGGTGCCCTGCATAAACACTCAGATTCCTGTCATGTGAGGCTCCCATAGCTAGTGGAGGCAGCGCTCCACGTGGGGCACAGAGCAGAGGGTTTGTTTGCATCGTGCGTCTCGGTCTTATGAAATGGGCAGGATCTCCACACAAGAAAGCAATGGCTCCAGAGAGGTGAAGCGTGCGGCTCGAGGTCACACAGCATGGAAGCAGCAGAGGTAGGGTTTGAACCTGAATATGTGGGGATTTCATGTGGCTGGAGGATGGACGCTGTCTGCTCTTCCTTGGGGGCTCTATTTGCTCATTTCTGGCACGATGATGATTCTCTGGGTGTCGCTGGAAAAGACCACAGGCCGTCCCTGGGCCTTGGTTTTGGGAGGCCACCCAATGAGAGGCAGGAGGCTGGTCAGGACTGCGTTGAGCATGGCGGTCCCGTAGCCCCAGCCCAGCCGGCACCTCCCGCCATGCTGCACTGAGGAGACACCGCAGGCTTCTTTGGCAAACGGGGAGGCCAGGGCGGCTGGGAAAACCAGTAGGCCTGTGACGGTGATGGCAGCTGCAGGCAGCAGAGAGACAGCCAGCGTTGCCAAGGGGCGCAGGGGGATCGCCCCACCCCTCACTTCCCAACGCCGCCACTTCCCAGGCTCCTGCCTGTCCACTCATTATCCATCCACTTCCCACCTGCCATCCATCCATCCACATCCACGTCTACCCACCCACCCACCTACCATCCATTCATCCATCCATCCACATCTACCCACCCACCTACCATCCATCCACAACCACCCTCCCACCTGCCATCCATCCATCCACATCCACGTCTACCCACCCACCCACCTACCATCCATTCATCCACATCCACATCCACCCACCCACCTACCATCCATCCACATCTACCCACCCTCCCACCTGCCATCCATCCATCCACATCCACATCTACCCACCCACCTACCTGCCATCCACATCTACATCCACCCACCCACCTGCCATCCATCCATCCATCCACATGTACCCACCCACCCACCTACCATCCATCCATCCATCCACATCCACATCTACCCACCCACCTACCATCCATTCATCACATGTACCCACTTACCCACCTACCATCCATCCAGAACCATCCTCCCACCTACCATCCATCCATCCATCCATCCACATCTACCCACCATCCCTTCACATCCACATCCACTCACCCACCTACCATCCATCCATCAACATCCTCCCACCTACCATCCATCCTTCCACATCCACATCTACCCTCCCACCTACCATCCATCCATCCACATCCACATCTACCCACCCACCTACCGTCCATTCATCACATGTACCCACCCACCCACCTACCATCCATCCATCCACATCCACATTCACATCCATCCACCCACCATCCATCCACATCCACAACCACCCACCCATCTACCATCCATCCATCCATCCACATCCATCCACTTACCCACCATCCCTTCACATCCACATCCACCCATCCACCTACCATTCATCCACATCCTCTCATCCACCTGCCACTCATCCTTCCATCCACCCATCCATCCACCCATCCACCATCCATCTGTCCATCTACCCATCCATTATCCACTCATCCATTTATCTACCATCCACCATCCATCCACCCATTCATCCATCTATTCATCCATCCACCATCCATTTACCCACTCACCCATCCATCCATCTATCCATTACCTACTCATCCCATCCACCTGTCCACCAGCCAGCCACCCATCCA